TAGAAGTTGGAGACATACTTCCTGTTGCTGTTATTGCCCTGCAGCTAGTATTTGGAGGCATGCTGCTCCCCAGTTGGAGATAACCCTGAATCTCAAAACTAGTAGTCCTTGATAGACCTGCTCTCCATGAATTTACTGATTTTCTCTTACAGCAATCCAACTTAATGGTCGTCATCCTGTTTTGTTATGATGAATTTCAAAAGTTAATTTTGCACAAAGTGAAGAAATACCTTCTTTTGTCTGCTTTCAATCTCCCCCAAATTATCAATGGAGGTTGTTGAGAGAGGAGACAAAACTGTCCATTTTCACCACAGCGAGTATTATGTTATACATCTCAACCATATTCCCCCTCACTTGGCTGTTTCCTGAACCTAAAGAGTCCCAAACATTCAAGCTTTTTGTCATAGAAGAGTGTTGAGCCTTTAGTCACATTGGTTGCCCTCTTCTGTACATCACTTTTTTTTTTCAAATGTAATATCTGAGAGCAGCATAGAGAATTCTGGATGCAATGGATCATTGCTTTGTGTGAAAGCATGACAATTTTCTAGAGACTCCTGTCATGGAACTTGACTTTTTCACAGCTGCCAGATATTGAGTTGATATGTTCATTGTGCCATCCATTGTAACTCTAAGATCTTTCTCCGGGTTGGTAAAAAGAGAACTCAGATCCCATCACATGTGTGTCTATCATTAGGGCATTTTATTTTACCTATCACTTCACACTTATTTAAATTTAATTGTATTTGCACTTGATTAACCATTCTTCAATTTAAATACCGTAGATTGTTCTGAAGCTCTTCTCACACACGTTTGTTTTTTGCTATTTTGAATAGTTCAATGCCGTCTGCAAACTTGGTCAGTTCTGTTTCCGCAGGTCAAGATGCACCGGTGTATCTTCTGCTGTATGATGCACTGTAAAATATATAAGATGTGCTACGTGTAATTTTCCTTTAATTAAATAGGAGCCAATCTTCTTCCAATACTCTTTTAAAACGCTACACATAGTGATGGTGGTGATGGGATGGGAAAAGCCATTTGTTTCCTCATAGGAACAAATGCTGATAATGAAGTTATCCATTCAGTTGTATCCGACTCTTGGCGATTTTATGGGCCAGGTCTCTCCACATCTTCCTATCTTGAGTTCTTTGCATTTTCTATGCTCTGGCTAGTGTCAGCTTTGATGGAATCCAGCCACCATGTTCTTTGACAGCCTAGTTTCCTTTTACCGCTAACTCTTCCAAGCAAAATTGCTTTCTCCAGTGATATAGAAACAAAATGAAAAAATAAATGTAAAAATATGAAGCTAGAAGGAAAAGGTTACCCACTCATTGTATTTTTTTTAGACATCAGTGACCCTAAACTTGACTTTTCTGAAAAAACAAAGTCATGAATTATTGTTTAATATATAGTTGCATAAAAGGAAGATGCTGCTATAAAAGTACTTAACAATAATGAGCTTTAAGGCTTAAATATTATTTAACTGTTCATTTAAAAAAAACTTTCATGAATCAGGTGATTAAGTACCAAAATAATGTTAATATTGAGCAAATAGAAAATTAAATAATCCTATACTCATACTACATATTTCTGAGAAGTGAACTGTTTGAATTCTGTAGGTTAATGAAGGCATTGTTTTCCACACAAGTATTACATGAAAACAAATATAAATCAATTTTATATTTCCAAAACTAATAAAAACACATAATTCTAATCCTCTCTATGAAACCATTCCAATCACATCTGCCTATGTGATTCCTTCCATTGTTCACAAGGACTAGCTGAAATTTCCCAGGCAGCAGTTTCTGCTTTTTAAATTTCAAATGTTGAGACCAACATTACCTAAAACTATAGTCCATAAACGTGTCTTCTAAATGCCCCCGACATGTTTGGCTCCCTGATCATTTCTGGGAACTAAAGGCAAGACTTGCTGAAACATCAGAGGGTCAATTCCTATTCATTTCTCTCCTAGATTTTTCCCTTGGTCGCCTGCCCTACATGCTCTAGGATAGAAATAAACCCATTTCTTTTTTTCGACCCAGCTTTGTCGCTTTAGTCCACTTAATGATGCTCACCTGATTCCATTCTCTTCATTTTTCCCCTGTAAGCAAAACATCTGGGCTTAAGAAGGTGGGAGAATACAGGACAATATAAAATGGGTCCTTCCTGACCAGTTTGTCTTCATTCCTGTTTTGCAGTATCATAGTGCAAGTATCCACACTGAGATCAGTATACTTACATATCCTGCAAAGCTTTTGGGCATGTGCTGCCGTGCTTCAATTTGGATTTCCCCTACACCCAAAAATCTTTATTGGAAAAAAAAAAAGTCCCGAATCTGCACTTAATAAGTTAATTTATTGCCAGTCACTTATACATGTTGATTTTTCACCTGTATTTTCAAACTGGTGGGCTACATGCCCTGAACAAAGAACTACAAAACATGTTGCATGTTCAAACAAAAACATTTTTTTTAAAGATTTTACATCTGACATTACTCTTCTCTATAGTTCACAATAGCCAAATATTTAAGGAAGAAACACAACTCCCTCTAATTTGGCTTTGCCAAAGAGAAGTTCCAAAACATTACTGATAACGAACAGAAAAGTACCTTACAGGTCAAGAAATTAAGTACTTCTGTACCACTTGTTCTAACAGTCAGGTGTCTCTGTAATATCCTTTGACTTTCAAATTTTACTTTCATCATATTGATTGTACAATCTAAGCCATGCTCAAAGATTCATATATAACTATGCAATTCACATTCTGGAATATTTAGTGCTATTCACTCTCAGCCACCAAAAGTTGCTTTATACAGGTATGATAGCAATTGGGACCGGGATTACCATCACTAAATGGGTGACATCATGTGGCATCATTTAGGATGACAATCCTAGTAATCCCAGGTGCCCTTGCAACCCTATGTAACCCTTAATGACTGTGTGGGTCATTCAGTGGGAAGAGGTGGGAGTTCAGGGTAAGGAGCGTGGAAAAGGTACTGTAGGTGGGCACTGGGGAGTGTGGCCCACCTGGCAGGAGCCAAGGATAGGCACTGGAGAGGGTGGCTGGGGGAACGCTACGGAGTACAAAATCCCTGGTATCTCAAACTCTCTAGTGGGGCTCCTTGGGAGAAAAAGCGGCAAGAGCAACTTACAAAATTATTTGTGACCTTCCCTGCCAGCGTCCCCATTGATTTTGCTTGTGGGAAGCTGGCAGGAAAGGTTGCAAATGGCGATCATGTGTCTGCGGCTTGCCCAGCTGCTTGAGCACCCGGATTGTGATTCACATGACCACGGGGATGCCGCAAGGACCACAACTTCATGGACTGGTCACAGGTCCCCCTCATTCAGTACCATTATAATTTTGAGCAGTCACTGATCAAGTGGTCATTAGTCAAGGACTGTCCGTATAGAATGTAAGATTTGTTGCTGGCGCCAAAGCAATCACAAAGCATCATAAATGATGATGCAGGATATTTTTGTGGTCTGTGCTCTCTTAAATGTGTGGGGCTTCTACTTTTGACTTCCCTGCAGTTATAATTGCTACATAAAAGCAACCAAAAGTTCAACTCCTCAAAAGCTAGAGCTAACCCTGTGGTTATTCTGGTCTGTAAAGCAACAGGGCTTAGCTGCATCCATACTGCCTCTGACTGTTTCCAATTCATGTTGGGAAATAATCTAACCCAAAGTGTGTGTGTGGGGGAAAAGGAGGGCAGCTGGGGGAAAAAAAGCAGCATCAAACCAATCCATTTACATAAGTCACAGACGCAGACTGACGGCCCTGATAAACCGCTGCCAACTATTTCATTTGGCTATGAGCTAGAATACCCAAAGGGCTTGAATGAGGAATGTCAAAACTAGTCCAAATAGACCGTAGAGTGGAAGGAAGTTGACCCTACACTCATCAGAGCAAATCCAACGATCTAACAAATGAAGCAGCCCTGCGGCTATTTTTTAACATCTCCAGCTTTCATAAGGGCCTTGATAGCCCTCGCTCGCATCTCAAGCTCCAGGAGCTCCAGCTGCTGTGCTGATGGCTGAACATCATCTGCGGGAGGAACTGCTAAAGCTGCCGCCTTGGACTCCTTTGGGGAGGATTCGGCAAGGCCCAGGATTTCATTGACGCTTTTCTCAATGTCTTTCTGAAGGTCATCGATCTGACCGTCTCCGCTTTCAACCGTCCGCTCTGGCACAGCTGGATTATCTTCTTCATGGCATGGTCCTTCAATGTCGCTGTCGTATGCATCTGCATTGATGCTGAGAATGTCGCTATCTTCTCCTTTGCCTGCGGCATAAAATGAACAAATTTAGAAGGCTCGCCGAAAAGGAAGAGCTGTTTTTCACCTTGCAGTTGCTTCTGCACACAAATATTCCCTTGCCCAGATTTAAAGTATAAGAAAGGTCATCTATAAATTAAAAACAGGTTTCTCTCTTTCCAGCCCTCTCCCTACCTTAAGACTGATTTAATTTAGACGAGTCTTAATGCATTTTTTTTTTATTCCAATTTACAAGAACATGCAGTAGTCCAAAGCAGCAGTGCTTGGAAAATTTATTCCGTCGTATGGAATTGCATGATCTATTTTCCTAATTAAAATGTCATAAGGTTTTATATCATAAGGACGCGTCTGCATTTCAAAATGAAAGTTGATGTGGGAAGCCTCTGGGACTGACTACTGTTTATTATTTTAGAAGTAAATCTTATTCCTAAAGTGCAGTTTAAAAGTACTCTTAAAATTACTTTATGTACTGTAACGAAAATACGAGAATAGTTATCAGTACAGTAATATATGTATTAGAAATAGCTATGTAAAGACTTTCATTGAGATTTAGTCTTCAATTTAGGCTTCCTTCCTAACAATTATGGCATTCTTATTTGCTTAATTGTTTGATGGCAACAATAGGCCTGATGAGGGTTAATAAATTAAATTTTAGAAGACAAAGGTGTTGTTGATGGCCAGATCTCTCATTCTAAAAGACCTGGTGCGTAATTTGGGGTTTCTCCTGGACTGACAATTTCTGCTCAAGGAGCAGTGGTAGTTGTGGCCAGGAGGGCTTTTGCACAATGGCAAGTTGTGCACCAGTTATGCCCTTTCCTGGACCAACAATCCCTACTCACGGTCACTCATGCCCTTGTCAATGCCCTCTACATGGCACTGTCCTTGAAAAGAATCCAGAAGCTTCAATTGGTTCAAATTGTGGCAGCCCACATGGTTTTGTGCAGACCTAGATATGCACGTGTGTCATCTCTCCTGAAGGAGCTGCATTGGCTACAGATTTGCTTCTGGGTCCAATTCAAGGTGCTGGTTGTTATGTTCAAAGCCCCCCCATGGCTTGGGACCAGGTTATCTGAAGGACCATCTTTTCCCAGCCACATATACCCAACCGACCACAGCGGGGAGGCAGGGAATGTTGCGGGTCCCCTCTCCTAAGGAAACCCATTGAGCGGAACCAAAAAGATAATGGCTCTCTCCCTGCAGAACATTGCCCCCGTGAAGATAAGATTGCCCCCCACTTTGACACTCTTTGGCAAGGTCCTGAAGATCTGGCTTTGCCAACAGCCCTGGGGACCCCAGAGTGGGACCAAACCATCAAATGGTTCATTTGATTGTTGCCGCCGGGAGGGGTGAGGGGGGTTATTGCTTTTTTATTGGCTTTGTATTGGCCCTTTATTCTTGTAATCCACCTGGGGTCACTGAGAGTGAATTGGGGAGGGGGCATAAAAATTTTCTTAAATAAATAAATAAATGACGTACACTAAAATTTTGCCCTGGATATTCATAAGGCTTTTACACCTTGCTCCTGCAAATGTCTATTTTCACTTCCCAATCTTCAATTATCCTGTACTGTATGTAGTGGTCCATGGTGTGATAATGTGCAGATTACTGTAAAATGAAATTGTTTTAGATGCTCCAAAAGCATTAGGTAGTACGGAACTATGTTATACCTATTCTTGGTTACTTGTACTAGTCAATTATTAGTGTGGATTTACAAAGCCCTAAACAGCATAGTGCCAAATAATTTGTTGGAAAGCCTCTCTCCTCTAATATATCATCTTATTAAGATTTACAGTGACAGTTTTCCTGCGGTGCTGACAGTAACTGCATATGTTCCTGATTCTGTTCTATAGTTTTAATATATTAAATGTTTTACAGTTGATATTTTAATTGTTATAAACTGCTTTTTGACTGCAGTAAGGGCATGGACTAAGGCTCAGAAATTTTACAAGTGATTTCTATAAATACTAGGGTATTCTATAACATAGAACTTTCCGCTACATAGAAATTCTGATACTAATTAAGGACACCTGTTTGGGCAAATCTATTTAAGTTATACCACCTTTGATATTTCCATTAGGTTTAAGAATAAAGCAGTAAGATAACTAAGGTACTAAAAATGTAAGTCCCAAATTCTCTTGGATGTACAAAACCAGTTGTGAGAATCTTTTAATCTAGAGAAACTGAAGTTCCCAATGTTGGCAAGGTTAAGATGTTTGGATTTCAGCTCCCAGAATTCTCCAGTCAGCAGTTGAGGTTCACATATCTTAAAAGTTGCCAAGGTTGAAAAACATTGATCTAGAACACGGGTGTCAAACTCGCCACGTCACGTGACGTGTCGCGACGTATTGCGACTCTTTTTTGGATTGCCGGCAATGGGGTGGGGGCGACTTCGGTATGATGAAACCGGCCTGTGGGCCGGCAGTTTAACACCCCTAATTTCTAGAATGTGAATTTTAAGAAAGTTTAACAGAATATGTACAATGCAAGAAGTAAGAATTCTGACATGACTACGCTTTTATACTAAAAGAAAATATATATTTATATGATATTCAGTCATCAGGTACTGTGAATGTACAGCCGTTTATACTTTGAAGCCATCTATTAATCATTTTATGGGAGTCCTCCTGGATTCACGGCTGACCTTGGATGACCATCTGTCGGCCGTGACCAGGGGGGCGTTTTATCAGGTTCGCCTGATTCACCAGTTGCGGCCTTTTCTGGACCGGGACGCCTTACACACAGTCACTCATGCTCTTGTCACCTCCCGCCTGGACTACTGTAATGCTCTCTACATGGGGCTCCCTTTGAGGAG